ACACACACACACACACACACTCTCACACACACACACACACTCACACAAACACACACACACTCACACAAACACACACACTCTCACACAAACACACACACACAAACACATACAGTCTCACACAAACACAAACACACACAAACACAAACACACACTCACACACACACACACACACACACACACTTTTTAAATGTTTTTTAAAGAAGTCTCTTCTGCATTTATTTGATCAAAAATACAGCAAAATCAGTCCCAAAAAAAACACATTAAAAATCTTACTTTTCAGTGTTACTTTTCAATGTACTATAAGTAGATTAATATACCATGTAAATACATGCCACTCTCATGATGCGTGTCCTAAAGCATGTTAAAGCAGTGTATGTCTATCTGTCAATCACATCATGTAGTTATCATAACCCTCACAAAAGCTACCGTAGCTTTACCCTGGTGTATGATATTATCAGCTCATATATAAGTGACCTGCAGCACAAAAGCAGCTTTCAGGTGCATCTGTAGCAATAGCCAACAATACATTGCATGAGTCATAGAATATCACAACATATCATTAGGATATTAAGTAAAGATCATGTTCCATGAAGATATGTTGTAAATTTCCTACCGTAAATATATCAAAACTTAATTTTTGATTAGTAATATGCATTGCTAAGAACTTCATTTGGACAACTTTAAAAATGATTTTCTCAATATTTAGATTTTTTTGGCTGTATCTCAGCCAAATGTTGTCCTATCCTAACAAACCATACATCAATGGAAAGCTTGTTTATTCAGCTTTTCCTCTCTTATGACTGGTTTTGTGCTCCAGGGCCACATCTAGTGATTATATGATGATATGCAGTGTATCTGTCACCGCTGAGTCCTGCGGCCTGCTGTGTTTCTTCGGTCTCTGTGTTGATGTTTTTCTCCTGTTTGTCCGTTTTCTCTTCATCCTCGGACTCAGCGCCCATCCATGAGCTCCAGCCCTTAAACATGGTCTGCCCGTGCCTACGCGGTGAATTTAACGATCGCTGATGGTTTTAATCAGGAGAACTTTACTCCATGACTCGCATCCGCAATGAGCCACATCAACAACCAACAGCAACAACAGCAGCAACAGCAGCAACAGCAGCAGAGCGCTTCCGCCGTCAAACACACAGCAGCGCCCCCTGCAGCGCGGGAGGAACGGCACACTGACACTGCTGCCGTTAGATGATTTGTTGATTGCTTTTAATATGTACGCTTTCCATTAAATATTTCCAAGTGTTTGTAATGTGTTGTTTTATGCATGTTTGGCGGAGTTTTCGTTGCACTTACACCGTTCTGACCAGCAGGCGTCGCCGCTTCGAAACACTGAATCATTTTGCGAAGCAATCGGTTCAAATGATTCAAAGCTTCGAAATGTTTCTGTGCGAATATTTTCAACGCCATTCTCTCCGGTGTGTCTTACAGAAAATACTCTTTTGTGTTGCAAGGTATTACATTTCCATGGCCACGTACTCATACACTGACTTTAACTGACACAGTGATTGGTGACATGTTTGCTTTTCTGTAACGATTAATCGCGATTAATCGCATCCAAAATACACGTTTTTGTTTACATAATATATGTGTGTGTGCTGTGTATATTTATTATGTATATATATATATATATATATAATACACACACATACAGTATATATTTTGAAACTATTTACATGTATATATTTATATTCATATAATTTATATCATATAGAAATATATTTATTATATAAACATATTTTTCTTAAATATATACTGTATGTGTGTGTATTTATATATACATAATAAATATTACACAGTACACACACATATATTATGTAAACACTTTTATTTTGGATGCGATTAATCGTGAATAATCATTTGACAGCGCTAATATAATATAAAGTCCGTTTATTAAAAAATCCTTTAAATTCATCTTAAATTGAATTAATTATATGTAGCCTACTTTTAAGATTTCAAGTACTCAATCTTTAACCTTAAGTGCACTTTTCTAGACAAGAGCTGCAGCATTTCATAATTATTATTATATTAATGACAGTGGTTATTTTATTTACTTTAAAATACGTTTTTTTTGTAATATTTGATGTATTATTATATATATAAATTGTAGTTTGCATATCCTCCCGGGACCCAGAAAACAAAGTTTTGTGAATTTAGTATGTTTTCATGTCATTACATTGTTTAGAGCATATAGGGAAAAAAATGGAAAAATTATTTTGAAAAATTGTATTTTATTCATGTTATGCTATGTCCTCTGTAGAGGACACCAGGACTTAATTAAAAAATAAAATGACACGAATAGACATAAATAGGCACAAACAATACATTTTTAGGCTTTTTATACCAAACTTTGTATAAAGATGATTCTCAACTTACAGAATGATACCATTTTGCTTTATGTGTTTAAAATGACCATAAGATGATTTTCCCATTATATACAATGCATCTATACACTATCTCATTTGCATATTAATGTGCTCTTGGGGCAACATGTAATGAAAAAAAAGTGTAATAATTGGCAAGCTTTTCACAATAATATCTAATATTTCATAGGATTATTGAAATATAATTTCTTTCCCTATGCATTTGTTGTGTCTCCCAAAATGCGTAATAAACATGCTTTAAGTCCTGGTGTCCTCTACAGTGCACATGTATGAAATCAATGTCCTGTTTCATAACAAAAAAACATATTTTGATTTGAAACCCCATAACATTTTCCTGAGATGTTGATTTATGACAATTAATTTGAAAATACTGATAATTACAAAATATTATCATATATGCATAAGTGTGACATATAAGACATATCCTGCTTTTATATTAAAATCCCATCCCTTCATTCAAAAGCTTGAGTATTTCTGATTTACACTTCACTATAGAAATAACATGACATTTCTTCATATACATGACATTTCTCAGTAGATCTAATGCAGGATCTGACATCTCTCTTCTTCATGCGTCTTCACGCCGTCTAGAACCAGCTGAAACATCTACGCTTTCTCTGCTAAATAAAGAAAAATACTTCTGAGATGATATATATGTGTTTAGGTTATATATATAAAGATACCAGTTGATTGATTACATTGAGAATTGTAAACATTTATTCGTTTATATTATTATTATTTGTAGTACAAATTTGATGAAATGGTATTTTTAAATATGTAAATGAGACATTATCTTATTAAATCTACACTAATTTGCATACAATTCCAGAACATAAATCATAAAATTCTTGTTTGATTTTGTTGACATCTTAGAGTTAAAGTTTTTCCAGGATTTCTCTATTAATCACCCCATAAATCAGGGAAAATTTTTTTTTACCATGTTTCTGGGAATAAAACACTATATAAAATCAGGCAAATTAAATATGAACAAACCCTTGAGTAAAAGCCTTCAGAATATAGATATGAAAAAAACTGCTCCGTTTGGTGTTGAGAAAAAAGCTTTTAGAAATATGGACTGTAATTGACATTTACAGACGCAAGTAGATAAAGTGCAATAAAATAAACTTTCCACTCGTCTGAAACAGCATTCGAGTGCACGGATCCTAAATGGTGATATTTACTTGGTAGAAAATACAAGTCCTGTGTTTAACAGCTCAAATCCTGATGAAGAACTAATGAATTATGACCAAAGTTCAGAGACCAATCGTGAAATCAAAGAGCTTGAATGTCCATGTGCATTCTTATTCAACTCCCATAAAATATTGCAAAAGACATAATCGAGTCAGTTTCCCATAAAACCAGTATATATTTAGATATTACATGACTATATTATACCATTGTTTCTTATTACATTCATTTGCAGTTTCATAGGATGCATCATTTATTGCATCATGCAAGATATATGTGTCCCTGGAGCACAAAAGCAGTGTTAAGTCGCTGGGGTATATTTGTAGCAATAGCCAACAATACATTGTATGGTTCTCAATATTTAGATTTTTTTGCACCCTCAGATTTCAGATTTTCAAATAGTTGTATCTCAGCTGAATATTGTCTGATCCTAACAAACCATACACCAATGAAAGCTTATTTATTCAGATTTCAGCTGATGTAGACATCTCAATTTCGAAAAATTGACCCTTATGACTGGATTTGTGCTCCAGGGTCACACAGTCTTTTACCATTTTGTAGTGCCTTGAGTGTATTGTTACATTTTTATTACTATATTTATATTAATATTACTCAATATAAAATCATAGAACTGGTAGTAGTTCTTCATTCAGTTAGATCTTTAATCTTGAATTCTGTCTCTTCTGTCTGAATGCTGTACTCATAGACAGTCACAGGTTATGCATCGGTATATACAGCTGTTTATTTGTGATTTTTCCAAAACATCTCATTTACTACATACAATGCAGACAATACATGTGTAATGGACATTCGAGGGAAAAGAGAGATCAACACAAATGAGACAAGGTTAAAACTGAAAGAACGCTAGTTATACACTAGTGTCTTGAGCTTTTCACGTTTCTCTAGAAAAATAGAAATCATGTGAGGTGTGTCCGTGACATGAACGCTTTCTGTGTTTTGGAAAGTCTCGATGGGTTTTTAAGAGATCCAAACCGTGATTCACCACCGACCAGATTTGTCCAAGATTTCCAAGGCTGTTTGGAAAAGTTCAAATTGAATGCATTTCTCTCTGGTTTCCAGAACCCGCAGGATTGCACCATTTTAGATATAGTTCCCCCCAAAAAAAACCCCTACATATCTTCTTGTTCCAGACATGCATTATTTTCATTCTTCCATGAAAGCCAACAGGGAATTTGAGGCGGAATGTCTTAAGTTTCTCCTTTCCACAAAAAGCAAGTGGACTGTGATTTATGCGTCCAATTCCCAAAAAGGACAAACAAAAGTATCGTAAAACCATCATATCGTATAAAACCAGTCGACTCGTGCGCTATATTTCCAATTTGGAGCTCGGCAGGATAAATAACCGTCCACTTTCGTTGTGTGGAAAGCTTCGGTTAAACATCTCATTCTGTGTTTCACAGATCAAACGAGTTTGGAATAGAGCGAGTAAACAATGCAATTCTAAAGAGAAAACCGAGAAAAAAAGCAGTGTCGGTGGTGAATCGGTCTCAAACCGTGTCTAAAACAGCATGATAAAAGTGCTGCTTTTCCAACCAACTAATCCAGTAATTATCCTTCATTTCTTGGAAACGCCTGCAACCAAGCGATTATTGATGATATCCAAATTTTATCAATTTCTTCTCATGAGATTACCACCTCATTTGTGGTAATCGTGAGTAAAAGTTGGAAAATATGGAAAATAAGGCACCTGATTCCAGGAGCGTTCTCTCGGATCGTCTCTCTGAGACAAAGCTGTTTGGATCGCTAAGAAACCATCCAGATTTCCCCTGGTTTTGGTTGGGTTCATTCTGAGAGCCGAGAATCACAGTCAGACTGAACGGATTCAGTCCAACCATCTCCAGAACGTTCCAGCTACACAAACCCACTGCGTTTAGAAATCTGTCATGTGTTGTACACACTAGTTTCTTCTTCGAACAATTTTCTCTTTCAGATCAGATCCGCTGTCACGTCGGAGCCAAGTTAAAATGAGTTGCTGAATAATAATCACACAAATGATGCATTTGGAGGAAACGAACGCTCCCCTTGTGTCCTGAGGTTTTTGATAAAGTCATTATTGTTTTATGGAATATTGCATTGTTTTTAGAAATTATGACCAAATATCTTCATGGAGCATGATCTTTACTTAATATCCTAATGATTTTTGGCATAAAAGAAAAGTGGATAATTTTGACCCATACAATGTATTGTTGGCTGTTGCTACTTATGACTGCTTTTGTGCTCCAGGGTCACATCTTTATTTTTTTAAAAATGCATATGCCCTCGTAATCTTGATTTGAAATAGCTTCCCCTTTCTTTGCACACGATAACGATCCAATCGATTCCCAATGGACAAATTCAATTCCCACCCTACATTTTCTTCTCAAGAATCCATACTTCAGTGAAGTGTTTCTGGCCTGAGATTCATATGTAATTTCCGAACAGACGCGTGTTGATTCAACATGCGTTCAGTCCGACTGTGAGCCTCGCTCTCGCCAATGAACTTCACAAACCACATTGAAACTAACGCCGAACCCTGACACGCTCCCAAAATAAGGCTTCGGGGTGTAGGCACACAGAGGTCTTTAGCTAAGCTAGCGTGGAGAATCCGCTTCAGATATTGTCC